ACGAGTGGGGCAGGAATATTCTGAAGGAATATTCAACATGGTGGATCTAGAGGGAGAACCAAGGTTTGGTAGACCCTAAGAGAAGGACCATGGTGACCGGATGGTGGCCTAAGTATGATCGCGGACGATCATTCCCTGACGAGGGGGAGGATTGTTAGGCACCAGGTCAGGATAATAGGATAAGGAAAGGGCCCTGCAATCAAGTGATCACCCCTTTAGCCAGTTGGCTTAGGGTGTAAGGGATAGGATCCTAACACATTTGGGCGCTCCTCTTTGGATTGGATGTAAATGCCGGGCAGCTTGTACAGGCCCGAATCCACCAGATTCTTCACACCCAAGTGGAGTGGAAGAACTTCGGTGGCCATTGTTGAGCTCTTCGCAAAGATAAGCTTCCTCTGGTTTTATACTAAAACTTTCTTGGCGAATACGAAAAAATGTCTTGGATTTTCTAGATTCTAAAAGAGGTTCGGTCCCGTGTGGCTGCTAGGAAGGAACTACGAATCTTAAAGTTGGCATAGCAAAATGAACTACCGCTCAGCGGTCCAGATGGCATCCCGAATGGACGGACGTGATTGCTCTATTGGTCTCGAGGATATTCCAGGGCCATGCCACGGGCAAAGGCAATGTCGTCTTCCAGGGCGGAGGCGCCACCGTCGGCGCTCCAGCCCGCGCGGATTCTCTTCTCCGGAATCAAGGTACCCGATCTCTCCCGCCAGTTCCAGCAGCACAATGCCATCCCGTCGCTGCTCGATCGGATCAATTCGCCGCTGGCAGCTGCCAGATCCTTGCTCCAGCGCGTTCTTCCTCCTAGGGCAGCCACATCCGGCAGGGAGCCGCTGCTCCAGTCGCTCCAGGCGCGGATTTTAGGGTCGCTTCGGCAGCGCCATGCCGCGCTCTAAGAGGAGGAGGAAAGAGTCCTTATCAGCGAGGTTCTTGTCCAAGATAAAGATGGGCAGGAGCTGGAAAACTCGGAGATTTTGGCCATTGCTCGACAGGCTCTAAAGTCGTGTAAATCGAATCACGCGCTCACGACGAAAGAGGTCCAAGAGGACGTTCATCGGATCATCGAGACTGGATTTTTCGCGTCTTGCATGCCTGTTGCCGAAGATGGCTGCTGGATGAGAGCTTCTCCGATGATCATCTCCGCGACGTGATCCTCAACTTCGTCATCGCCGGGAGGGACACCACCGCCAGCACTCTCTCGTATTTCACCTACATGATAGCCTCCCCATCCGGATTGCGCCACCAAAATCTACCAGGAGCTCCACGAGTTTGAAGAATTCCAGCTCAGCGACAATTCCCATCGCCCAAGCAGTTTCGAGGACAAGATCCACGGATTTACCCAGCTGCTAACATACGAATCGCTGGCTAAGCTCGTCTATCTCCACGCCGCGCTCATGGAAACTCTCAGGCCCTTCCCTGCCATACCTCTGGTGAATGAGGCCCTTCCCTTTGGATTCTCATTCGAAGCTTCTTGACTAATGATTTTTCTTTCCAGAACTTCAAACTAGCTGTCACGGATGATGTTCTTCCATCGGGTGCTGTGGTGAAAAGAGGATCCACGGTTTCATATGTGCTGTATTGCATGGCCAGTGTTGAATCAATCTGGGGCTCCGATGCATCGCAGTTTCGTCCCGAGAGATGGCGCAGAGATGGAGCCTGGGATTTCAGCGTCTCTCCATTCAAGTTCACGGCATTCCAGGTAATCTATCGATCAAACAAAGGGCGAGATTGAGGAGCGAGCGAGCAACATTTCCTTTTTGCAGGCAGGGCCCCGCATTTGTTTTGGCAAAGACAGTGCCTTCTTGCAGATGAAGATCACAGCAGCACTCCTGTGCCGATTTTTCGAGTTTCAACTTGTTTCTGGGCAGATTCTGACGTACCGAGTCATGGACACCATCTCCCTTGTGAATGGTGTCAAAGTCACCATCTCCAACTGCACTTGAGAATAAGAGAATTGGAATTTTTGGGTCCTTATATAGAATAAGCAAAAAACTGTCCATCTTCTCTGTACCACGTTTGAGCTCATAAGATCAATTGAAAGTTGGTGCTTTGTTTGTTGTTAGTTCTTTTCCAGAACGGCTAGAAGGGTAACTCAAAGTCTAGCAAGAATGCAATGGTCAGGTGGTTTCATGTCAAGTAGAAGTCTAATGCGTTTGCTATTTGTGAATATGTGATTGCACATGAGTGGATTTTTTATTTACAAATGTGCAGATATATTATTTTGTTTTCAATTGCACACAAAATTATATCATGCTATAATGGTAATTAAAACATGATTATAATATTTTTATGGGACATATATAAATCCAACCCACGGGGCACAATGAGTAAGGCCAATTCTCTTTTAAAGGCCATTTCCTAATCTTCATAGAAGAAGTGCAATTTCCTTAAAATGATTGAGTTCCAAATACCACAGAAGGACAAGTGTTTTAGCTGCTCAATCAAGTTTTGAGAGATATGGTTTCTCTTTTGGGAGGCTGAGAAGATCACTTTAAATTATATGGATCTGGAGGGGCTGAAGAAGATGAACAAGAACAAGTGTGCATTATTGAGCATATACACTTTCATCTTGGGCTAGGCAATGTACAATTTGTAATCCATACCCAGAGTACAAGGTGCCCATACATCATGTTCCAGAACACCTGTAAGAAATAAATCTATGCAATTTTCACATGATGTGTTCACAAAAGCAAGATGCTCATCTGGGCCATAGAAACTAACATTTCACAAACTTTTTCTGGTCACTATGTCACACTTGCAAGGATGTGTGTTCAAAAAATGAGCTCTTATATTCCCCATACCTTAGAGTGAAGGATTAAAAACATTGCAGCAAATATCATTATACTATATCCTCTCTCTGGGTTGTAAATCAAAGATACTTAAGGACCAATGGTATGTGGTTAACTATCCATGAAGATTTACATCACATACATACCATTATCATAACACTTTGTTTGAAAATGAATAAGGAGATAAAAACCTAAAATATGTCACATCCCAAAAAGACTGCCAACATTTAAGGATTCCACATAGACTGCGATTCCACATAGCTTTTAGATAAAGTGTGTGTATGGGACAAGCACTCACCTTTATATTTGGAAGGTGTACAATTTGGAGAACAATGACAATAAGAGCAATGCCTTGCAAAAAACCAAGAGCCTCACTTAAACATTCATGATGACTCATTAGTATATCTTGAGCAATCCACAAAAAGGATAGCGCCTTCTTGCAGATGAAGATCACTGCAGCCTGTTTCTCTTTTCATCTTTTTCCTAAGTGGGGAAGTAGCATTAAGAATGTGTTGCATTGCTCTTTAAATTTTGCAGGAAAAGTTGTGAACATTTGAAGTCTTAACATGGTTCTTGACACTTTGAATGGATGGTACCGAGATAGAGGCTACTTTGCACAGGTAGAGTTTTCCGCATTTCGTTTTTTGAGGTGGTTCTAGTGACAGTACACAGGTGACAGACCTGGAGATGATATTCTCAGAGTACAATTTGCTGAGGCAGTAGTTAACAGCATCAATATACGATTTTTGGACAGGAAAACGTAAGTTTTTCTAGTCTGAAAGAAGTAAGGGTGTGTGAAAAGTTGAACTGAGCCGACTGTTGGGAAAACAAGGCTGAAACATTGCTTTGTCAGCTTATGACGAAGAAAGGACAGGTGAATGAATTCCAAAATCTTTTTTGTTTCTAGCTTTAGACCCTGTATGATAAATTAACAGGTATACAGCTTGCAACAAGGTAGACGAGATGCCGAAATGGTCTTTACAATGGGAGTTATGGAAGATGTCAATATAGTGCTAC